CACTGAGAGAGAGGGGTTCATACAGACACACTGACTGACTGGACACTCCAGTACATTAACACTGCACTGAGAGAGAGGGGTTCATACAGACATACAGACACACTACCCGAGGGAACTACCGCCCCCCTCCGGCTGTATGCATAAAAAGCAATAATAATAATAACATTTAGAAGAATAAACGGTGCTGAAGACAATGACAAGAGCTGTTATCGGAGGTAGTGAGGGAGACAGACGCAGAAAGCACTTCTCACCCGATAAGGAACGATGGACTCTGTTCGCAATGAAGAACTTTTTCTTCGACGCTCCAGTATCCGTCCAAACACTGTGATAAAGTTCGCACCGTCGTCAAAACTTTCTCTCTACTACATAACAGCACCTACACGACGAATTATCGACTGAAGACTGCAGAAGACAGGTCACACCAGGTCACACCTGTCAACCGATCTCCTCGGGAACAAAAATAATGTCAAACTTTGCCTATCTTGCAATTAATGTCTGTAAAGTACAATTCAAGAGGGCTTCGCAGGAGAGCGACGTCGATCAAGTCCTGATAATAACTTCCGCGGGGGGAGATGAAAGTTGTCTTTGCGAGACGGACGAAGGAGGTGTATTGACCCGTCGAGGAGAACCGCGGTCTGATCGGCGAGTCCGGTGCTGTAGACTGGACTGGTCCCGTAGCTGAGCCCGTGCTGATCCGCCTGTCTGTGCGCTTCTCGCCTTCTGCCTTCTCCGCTCCTGAGCCACAGAGCCACCGCCCCCAAAACATATTGCTCCACAGCATTGTGCGGTTTACATGGTGTGCTGCTGTACTGTGTCCCGAGAGAAGAGCGCGAATAAGAACTCCAAAGTACATGTCCACACGATGAGAAACTCCTCTACCCCCCCGAGTACAGCTGCTGCGGCTGCTGCAGTTCTCCAGTCAGCCTGCACACAGAGGGGGGCGCTGTTTCTCTCGAGGCTGTAACTACAGTCATTCTCACTGACGGTTGCTCCTGTTTGGGG